AGAAACTTATATATGTCTCCACATCCGAAGCGATAAAAGAGAAAGTGCGGGAAAAAAATACAACTTTATTCTATCTCTTATCAATACCATTTATGGATCATAAACAGTTGTATCTCTACCACTCTTTTATTCGTACTAAAATTGTATTCATTAAAAATATTACTTTTTATTGTTTGCGACCATTGCATGAGCCTTCCTTTATTTTATTTCATTCAAATTCTCTTTCGTTGACCACTTTCAGCTAGGTCCGTTCACATTTCTGCTCACTTTCCTTTCAGCTATATTTGTGGTGACGTTTTCTGGTCTCGATCTCATTTGATTTTGGATTGTGTTCATTTATTTCATTCATTACACGTCGCTTTTAAGGAAGAAAAGAGTTTCTCACGTGACCCCTTAGTGGTTGGAGTACTCTCCCCTTTGTTACTGTTGCATAGTTCAGTTCATGGAGATGGAAGGAGAACAAGAGGTAGGCCAAGAAAAACTATGGAAAGATAACATAAGATAATCTCAGCGTCATGTGAATGCTGGCCAAACAAAGAAAGAAACAGAAACTTATATATGTCTCCACATCCGAAGCGATAAAAGAGAAAGTGCGGGAAAAAAATGGAGAAAGTGAGATTGGGGGGGGGGGGGGGGGGGGGTAGGGAATATGTAATGGACAAAGAATTACAGTTAAGATCAAATCTAGGTGATCCCGTTGTGTTTGTGCGTGCGCGCACACGAGTGTTTTGAACACAGGTTTTTGTTAAGAAATTGGTAGATTGTGGTGTGTTTTGGCTTCGTTTCCAAAATAAACTTGGTTCTATTGCCAAAAAAAAAAAAAAAAGATTTCGGCTGCACTGCTCAGTGTTAAGAATAGAATAGAGAGCACTGCACGGACAGGTAACGATTACCAAGGTATTTTTGACCATCTGGGGTGAGTCATCGTCATCTGTATCATCGCCATCATTATCGCATTCTTCGTCGTCTTTATTATCCTCCAATTGCTGCTGGTGCTCCTACTGCTACCACCATCATAACCACCACAAGATTACTACTATTACTACTACTACTGCTGCAGCTGCTTCTACTACTGCTGCTGCTACTACTGCTGCTGCTGCTGCTACTGCTACTACTGCTGCTGCTACAACTACTGCTACTTCTACTACTAAAACCACCACCAACACTGCTTCTACTACTATTTACAACTACCACTACAACAATTACTACTACTATTACTACTACTGCTGCAGCTACTACTATTATAAAAAACCAACAACAGAAAATACTATTACAATTACTACTACTACTTCCGGTCGAAATGGACGCTAAGCACGGACACTGTTTGGAGTCGAGGCATGTTTCCTCCATTTGTAGACTAAAAGGATATAGTTTCGTCGCCCAGCTTCTGAGTTAAATGCATAGCGTGACACTGTGAGCTGTGAAGATTTGATTTTTGCGACCCGACAGAAAAAAAAATGCCAAACCTTACCAAGGATTGAAGCCGGGTCTCCCGTTGGAGTGCCCGGGGTTCTAGTCAAGAATCCCTTTCCACATCTTTCAGGCATATTAGGCATATAGGGCTAGAACTATATTTTATAGACCAACGGCACAAGATAGGTAAAATGGTCAACATCACGCCGGCCGCCTTTACTTTCCACGACTGCACCTGGTACACACTCAAGGCTAGGTCGACTTGGGAGCCAAGGTAATTTTTGAAAAAAAAAAGTCTGGCTCAGCCAGGGAGCGAACCCACGACCTTCCGAGCCGCTACGCCACGGTGACTCCCAGTGGCCGAGACAAAACATTATTATTATTTGTGTTGCTGAGGGAAAGCGAGTCTACCAGAACCACCCTCACCCCCCCCCCCCTCTCCCTCCCCCCTTTTTTTTTTCTTTCTTTTAAAAATTGGCCCGAAAACCCACACAAGGACGCAATGTTTGAATCAAATCAAGAAAAGAGTAATAGGTACACCATTACTGTTGAACACATCGTGATTGTAACTGACTCAGAAAGCATGCTGGGGAAGGTCAGAACAGGCATGATTCGTGCAGAGTGGCATGCTTCACTGAGAAGAACACGGGTGAGGAGTATTGTCTAGACTTTTTCAGAAGGATATGCTAGTGTGTTGGGAAATAAACATCCGGACAGACCAGCTGGCTTGGTGGAATACTGATAAATGATAAGGCAGACATGGTCAATACCTTGTGGGAGAGAGTGTACAGTTCGGAGGAGCAGATGGATCACCACAGTCTGGTGAGATTGATGCAGCAGGGAGTGACGAGAGGTTCTGGCAGATGCTCGAGGCTCAAAGGAAAGGCAAGACGGACGTTTAATTAGATGCCACTAGCACTATTAGTATCGAAACTCTTCACTGGCTGCTGGAGATGGGGACGGAGCGCTTACGGGAATGTCCCGACTGCTGTGATGTTGGTTCTTGAATCAACACAACATAACTCATTACTGTTCAAAAAAGAGACAATGGTCAGCAGTAAAGATGAACAAGGGCAAAAAATGCTCAGAAACCACAAGTTAGAGTTTGTGTGTATGTGTGTGTCCGTGTGTCTGTCTCTCTCTCTCTCTCTCTACACGATTGATGAGGTGAAGCAGTCATAATCTTGCACGATTGAGTTATCAGGCGGTCTGCGCGCGGCCCCTCACAGACGTCATTTCTGGCCCCGAGGTCACGAAAATTGCTTAGGGCCAACGTGACCCTGACCCAAGATAACCTCGCTGAGACAATATCCGTCTTGGGAACCGTCCGGTCCAATGTTGATGACAAGTTTAGAAAGCATTCGTAGATAACAGATGTCGAAAACAAATTTGCCTTTTATGAAGTTTGTCATTTAAAAAAAAAATGATATAGGAAGGGCAGGAATGAATTTAGATTTGGGGGAAGGGGGGAATGGGGTGGGGTTTATACGACGGATCAACATCATGGCACAAGGGTAGTAACCCATAAGTGCTCTGTTCTTCTTCCAACTCAAGGCTTAGTCTGAAGAATCTCAGCTCAGTGCACGAAATCCGTAAGTACCGGCGAGAATCCTAAAATACTTAGGGTAGACTTTCAACTTCAAGTTTTTCCCGGACAGCGCCGTTAGGCTACTTTTTTTTTATTTCCAAGGCTGAGGGATTTTTTTTTAAATACGCGCATCAATACACACGGGCGTCCGATCTTATTATCCAGAGACCACGGGAAATTACTACGTGAAAAAATCCTAGCCTTCAACAGGGCCTCCATCACGCGAGGCGGAGCTATGTCTCAAGACCACGCAGCCAACGCCCCCTCCCCCCCCCAGAGAGAGAGAGAGAGAGAGAGAGGGAGAGAGAGAGAGGGAGAGGGAGAGAGAGGGAGAGAGAGAGAGGGAGAGAGAGAGGGAGGGAGAGGGAGAGAGAGAGAGAGAGAGAGAGAGAGAGAGAGGGAGAGAGGGAGAGAGAGAGAGGGAGAGAGAGGGAGAGGGAGAGAGAGAGAGGGAGAGAGAGAGAGAGAGAGAGAGAGAGAGAGAGAGAGAGAGAGAGGGAGAGAGAGAGAGAGAGAGAGAGAGAGAGAGAGAGGGAGAGAGGGAGAGAGGGAGTACAGCTAGACACAGTACAACAGGTATAGCCGTACACAGTACAAAAAGTACAGCTGTACACAGTACAGAAAACAATCTAGTAAACTAACTAAAAAGCACACTGTTATTGCTGTGTCGTTCAGATCATGTTGAGAAATGCCCTGGCTAAAATGTCAATTTGTGTTGTTTTGTGCACGTTTGTCTACTTCCCCATTTTGTCAGGGTTTTTCGTCACAGTTCACTGGATTGATTTCTTGTATTTATTTAGCTAGACTGTGGTCACTATTTTTACACACACTACAACAGGTATGCTAGTTATGTTACAAAAAAAAGGGACCTTTTCCCACGCCTTTAGGCATATAGGGCTAGACCTATATTTTTATAGAATAATCAGCACAAGGTCATGTGGTCTGCATCATGCCGGCCGCCTTTACTTCCCAGGACTGCACCCGGTCCCACTCAAGGCTGGGTCGACCTGGGAGTCAAGGTTATTTTTGAAAAGTCTGGCTCCGCCAGGAAGCGAACCTATGACCTTTCGATCCGCGGCGAGCGCCTAGCCAAGGCGACTCCCTGGTATGCTAGTACAGCCCATATATGAGAGTTGACGCACTCAATTTGCAGAGATTCTAGAAGATCCACATACAACAGGCATAACCACACATAAAACAGGCATAACCACACATAAAACAGGCATAACCACACATAAAACAGGAATAACCACACATACAACAGGCATAACCACACATACAACAGGCATAACCACACATAAAACAGGAATAACCACACATACAACAGGCATAACCACACATAAAACAGGAATAACCACACATACAACAGGCATAACCACACATAAAACAGACATAACCACACATAAAACAGGCATAAGCACACATAAAACAGGCATAACCACACATAAAACAGGCATAACCACACATAAAACAGGCATAACCACACATACAACAGGAATAACCACACATACAACAGGCATAACCACACATAAAACAGACATAACCACACATACAACAGGCATAACCACACATACAACAGGAATAACCACACATACAACAGGAATAACCACACATACAACAGGAATAACCACACATACAACAGGAATAACCACACATACAACAGGAATAACCACACATAAAACAGACATAACCACACATACAACAGGAATAACCACACATACAACAGGCATAACCACACATAAAAGAGACATAACCACACATAAAACAGACATAACCACACATAAAACAGGCATAACCACACATAAAACAGGCATAACCACACATAAAACAGACATAACCACACATACAACAGGCATAACCACACACAAAACAGGCATAACCACACACAAAACAGGCATAACCACACATAAAACAGGAATAACCACACATACAACAGGCATAACCACACATAAAACAGGAATAACCGCACATACAACAGGCATAACCACACATAAAACAGACATAACCACACATACAACAGGCATAACCACACATAAAACAGACATAACCACACATACAACAGGCATAACCACACACAAAACAGGCATAACCACACACAAAACAGGCATAACCACACATAAAACAGGAATAACCACACATACAACAGGCATAACCACACATAAAACAGGAATAACCGCACATACAACAGGCATAACCACACATAAAACAGACATAACCACACATACAACAGGCATAACCACACATAAAACAGGCATAACCACACATAAAACAGACATAAACACACATACAACAGGCATAACCACACACAAAACAGGCATAACCACACATAAAACAGGCATAACCACACATAAAACAGGCATAACCACACACAAATAGGCAGAACCCCACATAAAAAAAGGCAGAACCCCTCACAAAAGAGATAGATAGAACCTCACACAAAGCAGATAAATAAACACAGCTTCCACACATTAACACAGATGAATTAACACAACCCCACACGAAATACAGATAAATTAACACATCATTACACAAACCACAGATAAATTAACACAACCCCCTCCCCCCCCCCCATTTAACAAAGACTAAAGTGTAAACCCACACACACACAAACCAACACACACTGATGGTACAACCCTGACTATCCTCTTGTGCAGACAAATCACAAGACCACACCACATCTCCAGTCCATCAGCTCTCATTCACACCCCCATGGCTCTTATCTACACTATCATCATCCAGTGTTTTCTTTGTCCCATCTTTGCTTTCCTTCTCTGTGTCACCAGATGCAGCTCCCTCTGTTTTGCCATCTTCTGTCTTGTCATTGTTGGCTTTAGTATCAGCATCGCCCTGTCCAGACAATACTTCTGGTTCTCTGGTCAGTTCTGTATCACTACTAGTTTGTGGCTGTTGGCTGTCATCTTTCTCACTTGCAGTCTCACCTTATAGATTAAAAAAAAAAAAATTAGAGTAAAAGCGCTGCTAGAATGAAGATTCTCGACATTGCTTCTGACTGTTGTAGATGGTTTGTAAGTGAGTGAACGAATGAACGAACAAACAAACTTTATTTTCAAAGGGTCACAAATTGGGCATGTAAGACCTTCTTAAATTCAGCCGTTCCAAACTTTCACTTTTTACACAGCAGTTGTATTTTATCAATATAGCATGTTATGATCACATACAATTCTGCATATTATGAATCCGAAGACAAAATACACAAAAGCGTGGGTGGTAAAAATGCATAGGCACACGCACGCGGGCGCACACACAAACAAGCACATACACATGTCCACCCATTCACTCACGCACTCATTAACCCACATACATATACACATGCCCAAATACATACACACCCACCTACATACACACATACTCACTCATATACATACTCACACCCACATACATGCACACACATCCACATACTAATTACATGCACACAAATCTTCATATGTACATAACATACATACACATCTCCGCACACAGATGCAGACATACACACACACACACAGATGCACACTGACATGCACACAGACATAAATAGGCACAACCACATATGCACAAAGACACATATCCATACAGACATACAGTAGACATATGTGCATTCAGACATGCATCTGTAAACACAGACAGACCCACACGCACACTCACGCGTGCTCGCACGCACACACACATATATATATATATATATATATATATATATATATATATATATACATACGGGCATACATGCATACAGACACACACCTGCACTCACAGACAAAGAGACATACACATTCACTGACATTCACACAGTCACATGAATAAATTTGGCCTCGTTAAAAATTAAACGTTGACTAAATGGCAGAAGTCTTAGATGGCTATAGAGATGATTTTTATAAATATGTTTTATATCTAAAACCAGACACAAAGTACGATTTTGAATGGATCTTAGCCTTTTAACATTAGAATTGGCGCAATCATCAAACTATGCAACAATAGTCAACATGTGTTTACATGCAGGACGCGTAAAATAGTTTCCATGCATCTTCATCCAGAAAGTGCTGAATTTGGCAAGCTTTTATATTTTTTATGCTATTTTCTTAGTTATAACACAAACATGAGAATTCCATATGGATTGTCAACTGTAAGGTCTAATGTTTTAGGTTCCGTTACATTTACAACAGGCAAATGATAATTGTAGAGCTCAGGTTTCAACTTGTCCAATACTAATGTTTGTAACTGTTGTCTGGTTGTTATAAGCATATATTTAGTTTTATTTATGTTAATTTGCATGCGACTGCTATTGCTTCCTTTAGAAAGATTATCTACTTCTTTCTGTAAAGAAATTCATTACGATTATCATGGCCAGTATATACTGTACAGTCATCAGCAAATAGATTGCATGTTATACTGAGATGTAATGGAAGGTCGTTGATAAACATGGCATAAAGCAGTGGACATAGAATCGACCCCTGGGGCACATGTATATTTAACTGAGTGGATTCTGCAGGCTGTTGTTGAAGGATACTTCTTGCTGTCTATCGGATAAAAATGACCGCAAGAATATGATTGAATGATCATTAGTTTCCAAGTCTTTTAATTTATTAATTAGAACATCATGATCTACCATATCAAAGGCTTTCTTGAAGCCCACAAAAACTGCCCACAAATACAAAACAAATTAAATTATTTTAGGACAAATCACTGACAGCCACCCCCCCCCCCCCACCATTTCCATTGAAAAATAACAAAAACTGAAAACTGGACTCAACTTTTAATCTCTGGATACAACTGATATTTCTTGTGAATCCCAACCATCATGTAGAGAGACAAAGAGAACAAATGGGGAAAGGGGGGAGGGGGGCGAGAGCAGGAAGTGTAAAACTGTTTGTTAAAATGACACTCATGCGTGAATGCATGTGACGATGGGAACTCAAGAGGAAGATATGCAAAGATGTAAGGGTGGATGGATAAACAGACCATCAGACGGGTGGATAGACAGACACACAGATAGATAAATGTGAAATAAATGAACTGAAGAAGTAAGAGATGCACAAGAGAAAACCTAAGATATACACCAATGAGGCAGACCACAGACCAGATCACAAGTGGAAGACTAGATTACATGCATATTCTTAGTGCACTTTTATTCATGGAGAGGCGCTCATGCCGTCTGGAGGTGACAGGTTCAATTCCCAGCACGGTAACTATAGTGTTCTTCTATCTTTCTACTTCTTTCTATGAGTGCCGATCAATACACTTTCTGTTACTTGATTAATTTATGCATATTTAAAAGATTGCACAGGTTTTATGGAATGAGGGAATTTATTGTGAACCGTAACTGAGTCAAAAATATAATGATGATGACTGTAAACTTACTACTTACCATCTGCAAGGTTCACTTCTGCATTTGTCTCCAGTTTGGACTTTCCTTCCTCCTCATTTTGGTTTTCTTCTTCTTTCTTTCTCTGTTCCTCTTCCTGTCTTCGCTTTTCCTCTTCCTCTCTTTGTTTCTCTTCCTCTTTCTTCCTTCTTTCCTCTTCTTTCCGGTATCGTTCTGTGAAATGTGATGGGATATCATTTAAACACAAAACAAATTAAATTATGAATTAAAGGACAAATCACTGCTTCCCCCCCCCCCCCCCCCTCCCAAAAAAAAAACAACAACTGAAAACCAGATTCAACTTTCAATCTCTGACTACAACTGATATTTCTTGTGAATCCCAACCATCATGTAGTATGTTCTCTAAATTTTCTGATTTGGTCAAAACATACTAAAGAAATCTGGCTTACCCAGTGGCCACTTCCATTATATATGTAATCTCTCTGAAAACACGTGACTTGTCACAGAAGACATTTCGTTCCTTTGGGCAGGATTAAGTGGACTGTAATTTATAGAAGACAGGCAGCCTCACCTTCCACTTCAACTTTCATGACACAGTCAAGGTTCCATCATCAATGCAGATGGCTCAGCCATTAACTGCTCCACTTCCGTGCCAGAGGAAATCATATGTTGTGTCCTTCACTGCCCCATTTACAACTTAGTGAACAACTTGTCCAGTCTCAGCAATATCTTGAAGCTTGCACACATAAAGTAAAAATGCCTAAGGCAGCTGTCGGATGTGCTGACACTAACAGTCTCACGTCAGAACTGCAGGTCACTGTTGCAACAAAAAGTCAGTCACAAAAACTGGTATTGCATCTTTTGACATGTATGGATGAACACAGTGTAATTATTTTTTTCCCTCTCTGTATGGGCCATGGTAACATTCAAAAGGTCCACAACCCTAGCCACAAACAAAATTTTTTAAAATTCCCCTTTACATGCACATATACACAGACAATAAACAGATAAAGAATATTGAATTGAGAATCGACATCACAGCACTCAGTCCCCATCTTCAGCAGCAAGTGAAGAGTTCCAATTCTGATGGTACGAGTAGGTGGCTGATTGTACATCAGTCTTGCCTCTCCAAAGAGAAATAGAGTACGTTGCACACAGCCATAAGTGAAATTTCTGACAATGTTATCCAGCTTTTCGGCTAAGCTTTGTGTTTCATTTTTGTTCCACATAACAGTTTTGACAGCATTCAGTCTTTTTATCGATACTTCATCAGAAGTCTCTGATGTGTGGACAAATATTCACGACAATTAAATGTGATCAAAGGTGAGATAATATTAACGCTGACATTTTCTAATCCTGTGTTTCAGCGTCTAGAAAACATTTACGATTACATTTTCTGCCCTCTGCTTAAAGTGCAGGAACATATTAAAGAACATATAGTTTTTTTTATCCTATATTTTAAGTCTCCTTCTTCTTCGCACTCACCAGGTGTAAATTCGGGCAACTAAAAAAAAAAAAAGATCTAGTTCACTTCGTCTTATTCCAGAACCTGATTTGTGTGCACATTATTTTTACAGACCCGACTTCTTTGCTGGTTCCTCGCCTGCTAGTAGGCAGAAGCATCGATGTACGACATTCCTGTAAGAGGGCAGTAGGCCTATCTCCCCCCCCCCCTCCCCCACAGGGTCCAAGTACCTACAAATTAGGTTATCAATGATATCCAACACACATAAAAAACTTACTTACATAAAGAAATTGTCTTATCCTATGTTTCTAGCTCTTAAAAAAAAAAAAAAAAAAAAAAAAAGACATGATCACAGTATCATACCTGCCAGTTTGTCACAGAACTTTTTGTGGGTGGGCCAGTGCAGACGCTGACACTCTTGGTTACAGTAGGCTACCTGGAACAAACCAACACAGAGGGGGGTTAGGGTTACAGTAGGCTACCTGGAAAAAACCAACACAGAAGGGGGGGGGGGAAGGGGGGGGGTTAGGGTTACAGTAGGCTACCTGGAACGAACCAACACAGGGGGGAGGGGGGGGGGTTTAGGGTTACATTAGGCTACCTGGAACAAACCAACACAGGGGGGGGGGTGTTAGGGTTACAGTAGGCTACCTGGAACAAACCAACACAGGGGGGGGGGGGGTAGGGTTACAGTAGGCTACCTGGAACAAACCAACACAGAGGGGTGTTGGAGTTACAGTTTGACTTTGTACATAACATTATTGGTTTTTGTCTTTACATGTCTCTGAGGCATCCATTTATATCTCTAGCTATCAGGCACATTAAAGAGCTTCTATATCGACAGGAATGACAATAGCCACTGCTGCCCATCAAGCAATGAATCACAAAGTGTTCCTCCCCACAACGCTTAATGGCAGAAGTGGGAAATGATGATGATGAACTATCAGATGCCTAATTTGCTGTGTTTCCTTTGAAGTCAGGGTGCAACTGTCTAAGAGGCAAGGAACTAACAATCTGCACACAAATAAACCAAATATGTAGAACAGACATGCAAACAAAATTCTGGTTCTGGAACAAGATGAAGAAGTGGACAAACAACCAGTACTTTCTGTCAGAGTTTACAAACATTAAACCCAAAGAAAAAGAATAAGGTTTATATATTATCACGTAATACACAACAATTGGCATCACCTACATTTAATACTACATTATATGGACTACTTTAATTCAGATGTCTATTTGTGTTCCTAAAAGTTAATAGACACGTACCATCTTGCATTTGGAGCATTTTGATTTAGCCTTTGGCTCGCCACAAGTATCACAGCCTTCGGCAGCCTCCCAGGCAAACTGCTGCCCATTCATGGCCGCGATGAGAAGTGATAGAGCTGTTGGTTCGTTGCCCTGAAAAATGTTTTAAAAAAACATGCAAGCCTATCATTGCTGGAAGTGAAAGGGAATGTGAGAACAGAAGCCGATGGAATGTAAAAGCAATATGAAACAGAATGCAGAAATTTGTTATCAAACAAATTCAAAATGAAATGTTAAAAAAAAATATGTGCTGTCAAACAATATGAAATGGTATGTAAAACAATACGTAATAAAAAGATTTAAATGTATTCTACTGTAAAACAATATGAAATGGTATGTTAAAACAATATGACATGGAGTATATACGCATGCACAATAACAACAATATGAAATTGAATATAAAACAATGCTACAAGGGTAAATTAATAAGTAAGTCGCAAATGGTTGTTTAAAAAAAAACGTGAAAGAACTTGAAAACCGTTGTTTTTACACATACACTACCCCTTTATTTTTCAACATAATTTCCAACAACACTGATGCACTAGTCCTATCATTTTATCAGTCCTCCCAAACCTGCTGCATAGAACTGTGTGCTCTGTTTTTTAAACCACATCTTCACTTCACATTCAACTTCTGCGTCATTCGTGAAATGTCTCGTGCCAAGGTGGGTTTTCAGTAGAACAAAAGCCATGTGAGCACCCTATTGCAGCTGCTACAGAGTCAACCGTTTTTCCCCTGCCACCTCTAATCATCTCCTCAACCCGCTGTACAGATGCATCTGTTGCAATCTCAACAGGACAACCAGTTCGGATTTCATCAACAAATGTGAGCGTTTTTGAGAAAAATTCTATACCCAGCTATGCACCAGTATATGGGATTTAACATTTGTCAGCATAAAGAGGAAACATTTCCTTATGAATGTCTCTTGCTAGCAGCCCTTTTGCCCCCCCCCCCTCCCTACAAAAAAATGCAGTTTGTTGGGCACACTCCGTAAATACAGTCGCCATTTTGTGTTGCATATGCGGATGCAACACCTAGCATCACATGACGAATGGAGACAAAGTTTGATGTTGCTGTCACCTAATGCACCTTAGAAACCACCAACTACACTTTTTACTTCCCCCTTGTAAATGGAATGTTTAAAAAAAAAAAAAAAAAAAGAATTACAATTTTAAAACAAAACAAAGATGACGGAATGATCAATCAATCACAAATTAATATCAATACACTCAGGACAATTCCACATGTGTTTCGTCTTCTTCAGTAGCTAATGAACAGTTTCCATGCTGGTTCTAATGACAATGTAATTAAAATCTGCCTATCATTTCATAGCATTTTTTCCATGTTTGTTTTGGGGCCACAGTGTGTGTAAATAAATAACTCACTGGCCGTGAACAAGCATGTAATAAAAAGTAACTAATTACGGGCATGTCAAAATCAGAAGTGCTGTGCTGAAAGGCATAGATATCGCAGCCTTGTTTAACAGGGAGACATCACTTATTTGTCAGGAGTCAGGATGCTGTGCATAATAAGAATAATGAACATGTCATTTCCACCTTGACATTCCCTTTCTAGAACCATTATTTGTTTATTAGCAGAGATATGTGCAAATGAAAAACCTAGTTATATAAATAGTATCTGATGTAATAACTGACATGCCATAGCAAAGAGAGAAAGCCTTGATGCACTCTCTTTCTGAAAGTTCTGGAAGACAGCTGTGCTACACTAGCAGTCAACTGCAACAGAATGTACCAACCATCTTTTAAAAGATGGGCACAGAATCTTTTAAAAGATGGGCACAGAAGAAGAAAACGAAAGAAGAAGAAGATAAAAGAACAAAGAAAAGCATAAATGTAACAACATTTCCTGCCAAATGATGTCACTTTAGTGAGCAGCAAGAAAAACTGGCATTATTTGCACACACTAAACATGCAAGTTAAATAAATGTACAGCTTACAATTTTCACTGGTGCAATCTGGCGGACCAGCTGCTGAAACAAAGCTGAGCTGGCATAGGGAAACTCTTTCAATGCCTGGCGTATCAGCCTCTCTTGAAATTCCAAGAAACCGTCCTCCTCTCGTCCTTTCATTAAACTAAATAAAAAATATAAATCAGCATTATTATTTACTGTATGTCCTATAAGGATCATGATCTTATTGTATGTCTAATACGGATCAGCATCATTATTGTATGTCCAATACGGACAAGCATCATTACTGTATGTCATATACAGCTCTTGCTGTGAGTTAAATATTAACACAAGGTATTAACTTACTTATGTTACTTGCATCAATATTCTAGCACATGGGTCTGACCCACCAGACTATATCCTTTCATACAGCATCCATCTCATCATCTCCATGCTCAATGTACTCAGTTGAAACTGACTAGCATATCTTTTGTTCTGTGCTCCATAAATGACTTTCACATGTTTGTCTTGTTTCATGCCCATTTTCACATGTTTGTCTTGTTTCATGTCTATTTCCACATGTTTGTCTTGTTTCATGTCCATTTCCACATGTTTGTCTTGTTTCATGTCCATTTCCACACATTTGTCTTGTTTCATGTCCATTTCCACACGTTTGTCTTGTTTCATGTCCATTTCCACACGTTTGTCTTGTTTCATGTCCATTTCCACATGTTTGTCTTGTTTCATGTCCATTTCCACATGTTTGTCTTGTTTAATGCCCATTTCCACACGTTTGTCTTGTTTCATGCCCATTTCCACACGTTTGTCTTGTTTAATGCCCATTTCCACACGTTTGTCTTGTTTAATGCCCATTTCCACACATTTGTCTTGTTTAATACCTATTTTCACATGTTTGTCTTGTTTAATACCTATTTTGACATGTTTGTCTTTTTTAATACCCATTTCCAATCATCATCATCATCAGGTGCCTTGCCGACTGGCGTGGGCGATCATGCCTCTCCATAATCCGCGATCTCCTGCAGCATGTATCAGTTCGTGTGCCGACACACCTCCATGCCATGCAACAAGACTGTCAAGCATCTTCTCTCGTTGTCTTCCTCTATCCCTCCTTCCACAGATCTTTCCAGTGGTCACAACATGTTCTATTTTCCCTCTTCTCATAACATGGCCGAAAAATGATGACTGTCTCCTTCTGATGTCAGTGATAAGTTGTCTTCGGTCTCCCGCCTCTTTTAAAACCTCTTGGTTGCTCTTTTTGGCTGTCCAAGGTATTCTAAGCATTCTTCTGTAAAACCACATCTCTGAGGCCTCCAAAAATTATTTGGCCTGCCTACCGATTGTCCAGGATTCACATCCATATGTTAAAAACTGGATGTATGTAGCAAGCAAGAATTCTTTTTCTAACTCTCAATGACAAGGATATATTGCACAAGATGTTTTTCATTTTATAAAATGCAGTTTTTGCCTGTCCAATTCTGTTTCTTATTTCAGTTATGCATCTTCCATCTGATGTTATCCATGTGCCCAGATACTTAAATTTCTGTACTTGTCTTAAAATAACACCATTGACTTTTATTACACATTTAGGAATAATTTGTTTCTTTGATACCACCATTACTTCTGTCTTCCCATTATTCAAACTGAGGCCCATTCTTCCACTTTCTAACACCACCATGTCTATCATTTCCTGTAATTCTTTCTGACTTGTTGCTATCAAGACTGTGCCATCAGCATAACGCCCATTTCCAATAGGCGGTTCAAATGTCTCGAAATTTCGTAAAGGCAGCGTATACAGTACATCTGAACTGTCCATACTTCTACCTCCACGCCGGTAGAGGACTTTGTCACTAGTCGGGACAGTATTTAGGTCTGTCTTTTCTGGTCGCATCAGCACCGTAGAAGTCCTTGTCAAGGCTCTTGGTGGTGTACAATGCTAAGCCATTTTATATGGCGCACATGAACTAGATGCACAATTATAACCTTAAGATCCCCCTTTGGGGATGCTGGTTGAACTTGATTTTTTTCTTTCCAGCAAAGCACCTACCTACCTACCTTCTATCTCCACTAAGCACTGCAGACACGGCCAGTCTGTCAGCTCTTTAATTCCCTCTACCCCAACATATCCTGCTATGTACAGGCAACATAGTTTCTTGAGGCAAAATTTCTGAGTATTTATTAATTTTCCTACCCTGTTACTGAAATTGGTGCCCCATGTACTCACGCTTTTAACCATGTATTCAGAGAATGTTCCTTATCCTTCTCCTTTGCCTCGGCTGCCAACTTGATGATGCAAGAAATGAAGTGGCATTTCATGGCCAGAACATCATTGGTCTCTCGTGATTTCATATTCTTCTCCACAAGACGTGAGAGCACAATAACCACTTTCTTGTGCTCGTTTAGGATCTGGGGATGATCTCGGAGAAACAGAGAAATCTGAAACAAATGAAGAGTAATTGTAAAGACCTATGATTGACTCGGAGAGCCGCCGTCGTCTAGCGGCTAGACACTCACCTGCGGATCAGAAGGTAATGGGTTCGGGTCCTGATGTGGGCCAGACATTTTCAAAAACGACCTTAGCTCTCAGGTAGACCCAGCCTGGAGTGGGTACCAGGTACAGTCCTGGAAAGTAAAGGCGGCTAGCATGATGCTGACCACATCACCCACTAAGTGCCTTTTTGGTCTAAAAAGTACAAGTCTAGCCTTATATACCTAATACGCTTAAAGGCGTAGAAAAGGGTCCTTTATTTTTATGTTTGACTGGAGCCCACAAGGGAAGGCTGCATAGTCTTCTTCTTCATGTTTATTGGCTGTAAACATCAACAGGAAATTCCTGGCTTGTTTGCCAACTACTTGGTCTTGTTCCAGAACTTGCCCCCTCTGGGTTCCAGGGCCCCATTGTGGGAAAAACAAGAACAGACCCACTGCCTCCCCAACAAGGAGGATTTGAGAAATGTGGATCTCCGTTGAAGTCAAGAGTGCATCCGCTCGAGCGGTAAGGAATAGCCCACTGCAGATAAATGAGCCAGTAAAACAGATGTACATGCTTTATTACTCTGGCCCTGGCACAAAGCCAAAGACATGTGACCAAATATTTTATATCAGTATTCAATGCCTGTATCTTTGAAAGTCTGTTTACTGTGATTATTGTGCCCAATTGGGTTTCTGCTCTGAAACCATCTGGGGCTGAACAAGTTAACCAGTTCACTGTAACTATGAACCTCTTTAATCTACAGTGAAAAGACAGTCGGAAAATGTGATGGCCTGGACATGTAAATAGACAAAACAGACTCTGAAATGATACTTCAGGGATCAGCAGAGGAGAAGAGGAAGACCAAGAAAGACCTGGATACAGAACTTCACTGACTGGAGACCTTAGGCATGTAACCATGAAGCCCTTCGCATCTGACCGTCAAAGGGGGAGGGAGCTGAGTTGAGTTGATTCAAGAACCGACATCACAGCACTCGGTGATGATAGAACTGATAGCATGATTTGTTTGTGGCATTCCCATAAGCGCTCCATCTCCATTCTCAGCAGCTAGTGAAGAGTTCCAATACTAATGGTGCCAGTAGCCTTCTGATTAAACGTCTGTCTTGCCTTTCCTTTGAGCCTCGAGCATCTGCCAGAACCTCTCGTTATTCTCCGCTGCATCAATCTCACCAGACTGTGGTGATCCATCTGCTCCACCGAACTGTATACGCCCTCCCACAAGGCACTTACCACATCTGCCTTATCATGCATCAGTATTCCACCCAGTTGTGCAGAGCCAGCCAGTCTGTCCACCTGTTCATTTCCCAACACACCGGCGTCTCCGGGTGAAAAAATCCAGACAATACTCCTCACCTGTGTCCTCCGCAGTGAAGCATGCCACTCTGCACGAAGCATGCCTGTCCTTCCTCAGCATGCTTTCTGAGTTAGTTATAATCATGATCTGTGCGTGTCCTGTTCTCTAGCCAGCGGAAAGCTGCAGTGACCGCCTCCACCTCCATTCTTAAGATGGATGTTGTGGTATCATACGCTAGGTTCTCCTGCACCAAGCGTCGACCACTTGCTAAGAAACCCCAAGCACTTCTTTTGCCTCTTGACTTTGAACCGTCTGTGTAAATAATCAAACTCTCTAATCTAGCATTATCTTGAATTAATTGCTAAATTTCCACCTCCCTGGCACCTGCTATCCAGTCTCTGCATTTCCGGCTCAGTATGATTATGACCCTACACAAGTCTGACTGTTCAGGGAGCTGATCATACAGTCACCAGCAACTCGCGACCCAACGACACGCAACGCTACCAGACGGTGATGATAAGAACTGATAGCATGATTTGTTTAACCAAAAATGAAGTGTATATCTACAAACCCAACCAAACATGTGACGTACCTTCACGGGGTGGAGATTTGTGAAGTTGATCAGTGTACACAAGGAGGGAGCAACAGCTGCTGGCAGTTTGGCTTCTGTCTCCAGCCCTGAAAGTGGAATCATCAAGATGGTTTAGTCAGCCAAACTAAATTATTTGCATCTGTCAAAATAGCAGTATGTCACAATACTAATGTTTACAAGATGTAGAGTTAATTCAATCGGCTGAGTTCACGCCTACGCAAACATTGAGGAGGTCAACATATGGGTAAATTACAGGGGTTTTCCTTTGTGTTAGATGGCTTTTTTAATGCCAAGATGATGTCAGATTTTCTCATAAGCCTCGGTGGTTAAGGTCACAGGGTAACGATATGAGTCACCTGAACACACACATTTGTTATGCCCTGGCAGACATTTTCAATTTAATGCTTCATCTGTTCATATTTATTGATTACCACTTTTATATATCTTCATTTATTTCAAAAAATAATTTTAAAATATTGATTAACACATTTGTAACAAATTTTAATACAACTCACGTTTTCGAGCCCAGAAAGAGAGTGACTTCCTTTCCCATTCATAAATGGCATTTTACTAGTTGTTGCGATATCGTGTGTTCTACATTACAGCATGTGAGTGCTTTTAACAGTCCCAAAACATGCAGAACTGGATGTAGGCTGCACTCTCTTGTGGAACATAGGCTGCACTATCTCATGAGACATAGTGGGGTTGGGGTGAGTGCCAGTTCTGAGTGCTTCAGGACCATTAAAAACTAGTAAAATGATGCCTGTTGTTGGCCGGTCCCTAAGCTTGACACCTCCGCAACATGGCGCAAGCCCTGGGACACAGAAATTAATGAATGGGAAGGGAAGTCACTCTCTTTCTGGGCTCGAACATGTGAGATGCCCCCAAATTTAACAGTGACATGTGTAAAGATTTCTGTTGTTTGTTCAGATTTTTTTCAGGAAGCCCTACTGGGTGATGACCTACTTTTGTTTTAATTCTCGGGATGAAATGGTTAACAGTCATATTTATTAGAATCACAAAAATGATGCACTGTAAATATTAGTTTTTGTTTTCTTCTTCTTTTTTAGCATTCACCTGTTGTAAACACCGGCGGAAAGTTTTGGTTGTTCATCCACCTCTGGACTATAGTCTCATTCCAGAACCTGAGTGTTGCATGCTAATACATTTAACAGATCTGACTTTACTGTATGCAGATTGCTAGTTCCTTGCCTCTCAGGCAGATGCACTACTACTTCGAAGGAACACCACAGTAGTAATCAATCTCCTCTCCTGAAAAGAAGCTGATGACACACACCGAGAAGAAGACAAGAGAGAAGTAGGAGCAGGACAAGAAATCAGACTACAAACAACACTTACCTTGCGGTTTGGTGTAGTACTCAATCTCCTCCCTGGGAAAGAAGTTGTTGATGACACTCACACACTGATGCTGACCTGCAGAAGAACAAACAAACAATATGTCACACATCCAAAATCTGCATCAAACCTTCGCCTTCTTCTGTTTTTGCTCTTCACCCTTATAATGCAGGCTGGCATGTTGTGTTGTGGTTTACAGCTAGACTGCGATAACTGCGCTTTCAGCCCTGGACATTTGATTTCTGCAAACTCCCAATTAATTAGTTTCAGGACAGGCATGTTATTCAGCATGTCGTTTAGGTCTCGTGAATGCGTTTTGTAATTCTGAGGTAGCCAAGGAGTAAACTGGCAGCAACCGCCCCCTTGCATTGATTTTAACAAGGGTATTCTTCTTCTTCTTTTGTTCGCCTGAAATAAGTTGTCTATATCAGCGGTTTTGTCTCTTGTATAAATTTCACTGTCGTTGTTAGTTCATTCAGTGGTCCATAGAGTTTACGTTCCACTGTTGTTCTTTCTGGCCAAAAGGTTTGCCTTAATGTGTCAAAATCGGTGCAGTCCTGGAGTACATGCTTTGCTGTCTGGGGCACATTTCCACAGGTGCACATGGCTGATACACCTATCTTGAATTTTGTGTACATGTGGTTACGTAATAGGTTGTGCCCTGTTCTGAGGCGGAGGATAATGACTTGTTCTGGTCTGTCCATAATAAAATAGTCGTCTTGTGCTGGGGCTGGTGGGTTCCTGATCGATTTAATGATTCTTTTCTTTTGGTGGTATGTGACTGGTACATCCGGCCGCTCTTTTGTCGCTCTTTTACCTTGACCTGAGTTTTGCGTGTACATCCGTTTTACTGGCTTATTTGTTTGCAGTTCTCGTTCCCCGCCTCTCCGGCAGATGTACTCCGACTTCGAGGGAAGACGTCAAGCCTATTTCTAGGTTGACTGTGGCCATTGTTTTGTGTGAGTCGAGATGTTGCCTCATTTGTGTGGTGTCCTCTTTGACCTTTAACAGGTGTGGCCCCCGGAATATCGTCCTTAAGGCAGCCCTAGGTAGAATTGTCAGCCCTCAAGGGAAGGCAGGGGCAGATCATGGGCATTCCCCGCCATCCAAGGAGGCTTCCATAAATGCAGAGCCGACACATGATGCTCTGGTTCTGGGCTCACCCAAGGAATCGTCACGTCCTGCCCATGACTGCTTAACCTCACAACCGTGTATTGAGCTTCCCGAGCTACAAGGCTGCACTCTTCGGAGATCAGCGGGGAGCAGCCCGCAGGTCCAGGACTTTTGTGGCCACACAAATAGGTACATTCTTTTTCATCGCACGTTAGACACCTTTAACGTTGTTTCAGTTGTGCCCTTAGCACGACAGAATGGGGAAGCAAAATGCGTCAGGCGTGGCTTCACCTGTTTGGTTCCAACACTCGGGCCAGTAGGACCAGTGGATACGGACATATGGACTTTTTCCTAATCGGTGCGAATTATGATCGTCGGACTTTGAGCTTGCATGTGTGCCGTGGGGTATAACTTTGTCGGACATTATTTCCTAGCCAGCATATGAAAAGTTGCTGCCGTGGTGTACCTCAGCGTGGTGACGACAACACTGAGGATTGACAGAGGATGTACGTAAGTAGGATCTTGCTGCGAGAAGTCGCCCACAAGAGATGTTACTCGTCTTGGCTGCGGGTAAATCTCTCGGTCAGGGTTGAGTCTCAGCAGCACAGTTTTCCATTCGCTCCCGAATTTTAACCGAGAGTAGACAGTGGGTCTAACTATGACTACCACATGCCCCCCCTCCCCCAATTCAGATAAGATTCTAGTACCCACATAGGGAAAAAATTAAACCTTTTAACTTCAGAACACTAAGGAAGTTGAAAACACAACAAGGGAATTTCTTTGGCAACTAAGTATCTGTGCAAGTAACACATATTAAAAAAGCTATAAAAAACATACAAAAGAATTACTGGAAGCTGCAGCATGTATGTTGAGTTTTTGAGCTTTGAAAAACGTTCCCAAACTAAGTGTAAACTTTTATATGCTAGGCATAAAATGAAACTAGAAAGCTCAATGGACAAGACAACACAGCTTCTAAACAACCAAGCTCAGAAATATTTTAATGCTGGGGGCGGGGGGGGGGGGGGGGGTAGAGATATGCAAGATGATATTACAAAACTCCCTGTGTGAGTTCCCGGGTCCTGTTTAAAAAAAAAAAAAAAAAAAGAATAGACCCACTCCTACCCAGCAGCATGTCATAAGAGTCAACAAATTGGGAGCTTCCTTCAAAGTTGAAGTGCATCTGCCTGAGAGGCAAGGATCCAGCATACAAATGAGTCAGATCTGTTAAACAGATGCACACACAACACTCAGGCTCTGGAACAACACTGCAGTCCAGAAATAGATGAACAACCAGAACTTTCCACCAGAGTTTACAGCTGGTGAACATGAAGAAGAATATATATATATATATACCCTCTTCTTTTTATTTTGTTTTTTAATTTCTTATATATATATATATACACACACTGAGGTATAAAACTCATTAGATAGGCACAAGTATACCTCAGAATTCCGAGCTCAAAATCTTGAGGTAGACTTTTACACCAGGTCTACTTGTACACAGTAATTTATGGTAATTACCCACTTCTAACATTATTTACAACAAAACAAGAGAAGCCACTTTACCGACAAAAGCGGCCATCTGTGTGGCTGTTCTGTTGACGGAGTTCACATGATAGATGTTTGCTCCAGCCTCCAGCATTAGCCTCGTGACCTCTGTGTTGCCTGTGAAGTGAACAATAATTGATTGATAGGTCAAGATACTAACATGTTCTACGCTATGTTTCCACAAAGAGTACAATGAAAGAATAAAACATTTTGTTTGAAAAGCTTTTTTTTTAATCTTTTACACTAATATATGCTCTACATCAGTGGTTCTTAACTCTTATAAAGAAGAGTGACCCTTTAAAACAGTTTCACATGCTGTGGTGACCCCCAACCACTCCATTATTTGTGTTGTTACTTCAAAACTTAAGTGAATATGCATTTTCCGGTGGTCTTAGGCGACCCCTGTGAAACGCTCGTTCGACTCACAGGTTGAGAACCACTGCTTTACATGATCACCACTGTTCTAAAACCACATTTCAATGTGTGCCCTCCACTGTTGAAGAACATGAATGAGCACAGCTGAAGCTATACTTATAAAGGGACTGCTGATATTTATTTTATTAAATGTGAAAACTTATAGCACACTCTGTACTTCTTTGTGTTTTCCTGCTACATTTCTTTTGTTTTCCCCCTCTTTTCTTCGGCGATATATTTTCTATTTCCTCTTCGATTGTCACCTTTTCTTCCTCTGCCACATTCCCTTTTTATATCCTCTTGTTCTTCCTCTAAGGCCTTTTCTTTCTACTTCTTCTTCCTCAGACAACTAATCTACTTCCTCTTCTTTCTCTGTCATCCCCCCCACCCCAAATCATACCGAACCTTAAAAAAAATCTTTGCCTGACAGACTGTGATAAACGTTCTGTGTGTTTTTCATTGGCACAGGAGCGGAGCAACGATGGGGTGACTCGTTTGCTATGAAGCTGAAACTAAGACTACCAGACTTTGCCTGACCGTCACGTTGAGAAAATCAAGTATAAGTCACCACATAGTTTTGATGGTCAATGAAAGTTAAGTCAGTTAATTCTTTGTCGCATTCATGTTTATTAATTATAACTCCATGGAGATTTTAACATTGTTTTGGAACAAAACTGCTAGTACATTTCTGGTGACCTAGATGTTTTTAACAGGATTTTTGTGGAATTGTTGAGACTGCAGTATGTAAATATTTTCCCAAGGGACAGTGATAGACATGTTGTGTGGTTTTAATTGGCGCCGGAAGGAGAAACTATGGGGTGCTCCGACTGCTATGAAATTGGAACTGTGATTACCTGACCTTAGCTCCTTTGTTTCACCTCTGTCTCTACTGCCCTCTACTCAATATAGTAAAGGTCCCTTTTCCACGCCTCTAGGAGTATATGGCATATAGGGCTAGACCTACATTTTTTTTATAGACCAATCGGCACAAGATGGGTGATGTGGTCAGCATCACGCCCGCCGCCTTTACTTCCCGGGACTGCACCTGGTACCCACTTAAGGCTGGGTCGACCGTGGGAGTCAGCCTCTACTCACCATTCAGCTGCAAAAAAAAAAAAAAAAAAAAAAAAAAGTACCTGAAAGAGCAGCAAACATGAGAGCAGAGTAGGAGTTCTCGTGATAATTGGAGTTGACATCGGCACCATTTGCCAGGAAGAATTCACACAACTCTCTGTTGCCTCTGAATGCTGCATACTGGAGCGGAGTCATGCCTTTCTGTAATGATGTAGCATTAAACTTTTCACAGCACCATATAAAACAATCCTACAATAATTTTATAGTAAAATATAACGACATTTACACACACTGCAATACCATGTATTATAAAAGCATTACAAGCATCGCAATAATTAATCACTGTACTTTACAACAATTTACCACAGCAACAATTTCAAATTATACACATTTTCTTTCACAACATCTGGGGCTTATGCATTGCCAACACATTTCGTAATGCCGGGTTCAATCCTATCTGCAGACGATCTGTCTAATTTTAGTTTTGACAGCGGTACAAATAGCTGACTGTTCAGATACAATGGCAAACCACTGAACGTAAAATTTGCCTAGAAAAACCACAACAGATAAGAATTGCTAGGGTTGATTCTGCAACGTCCTGTAAACTTTAACTTTTAACTTTCACAACAACAGCCTAAGCACTGCAATGACTAACCACTGTACTACTGCTGGCGCCTTTCTGTCTTTCCAGACAACAGTGTTATATTTTATATTATGCTATAAGAAGGCAAGGAACTCGCAGCCCATTATATTATACTATAAGAAGGCAAGGGACTCACAGCCCATGGTGATGGCAATTGCAGCTAACAAGACCAGCTCACATAAAGACAAATCTTATACAAACAGAGCAGGCAATTTCAAGCTCAGTGTCGCCAGAAAGTCTGAGGTGAAAGGAGACAGAGGGGGATCAACAGAGACGATGCTGAAAAATCTGATAACATTGTTTGGAAGATCATCTGTGTCAGGTATGAATGAAAGCATGAGACAGAAGGATGTGCACAGACACGATACCAACGCTGTATGGCATAGATTATAAGCAGACAAATATCTTAGCAACATAACAAGCTATATAAGAGGTTAATATCATAATGGCTATGACAGTGTGCTATATAATAATTTATCTCTTCTTCATTTCCTCTTTTACCACTTTGAGTCTCAAGCGAGATTTAAGGTTCTCCTCCTTGCCCTTCTGGGCCCGCTGACCACAGACACATCATGGTGGTGTAGTTTCTCTAAGGTTATCTGTGCATCTTGATCTTGGTCTACCTTGTCCTCTATGCCATTGTCCACGATTAGTGTATGCATTGTATAGTATGGTGTTATACAGCATTCTCTCAAAGTGGTCAAATCATCCAATTTGTCTTTAGTAATTCAGAATTGTGATGATGTTTTCTCTTTTGACCTCATTTCTGATTCTACCTCTTCAGCTCACTCCTGCAACCTGGCTCAGACATCTCATTTCTGTAATTACTAATTTTCTTGTATGGTTTGTTGTGAGCCACCATGTCTGGCACTGGTAGCATAGAGTAGGAATGAATATGCTTTGTGTGTTTCTTAGTGTTGATTTTGAATATCTTAATAATTTATCACAGTAACATTTAACACTTTCCTAGCAAATTATAAAAATTAATTAGTCACATATAGCACTTTCCTAGCAAATTATAACAGTTAATCACAGTAACATATAACACTTTTTTAAAGAAAATTATAACAATTTATCATAGCAACATATAACACTTTCTAGCTAATTATAACAGTCTATCACAGTAAAACAAAAACACAAGCACTGCAACAAACTATCACAGGGTATTAGAGGGCCAAAATCTTGAAAATGGGGATCATGTCTTGGGCCAAAGCCCCGATATCCCCTGCACAGAAATATTAGTAATACAACTGGCAATGTTCCGTAAGCCACTTGCTAGGCCTTTGCGGACCAAATCTAGCCTGCAAGCCCACCAGTTGAATATCACCGATGTACTATACAACAATTTAGCAAAGCAGCATTTATCACTTTCATGGCTAATTATAACACTTTATGACACCATAACTGTTTTTACTGCCTGTATTTACCACTCCTGCAGGTTTAGCCTGAGGATTGAGGGCTGCATGGCTGGTGCTGTCACCAGAGAGTGTATGACTTATGATTATCAATGTGATGGTTGCTAGTTTTGTCTTGATGATGTCTGCTATTTTTGGTCCGATGTTAGACAAGGCACAACAGAGATCACTGTCCCTATCAAGCTAACAGTTCTGATTTGTTTTCATGACTGTTAAAGTTAATAATCATGATTATTACAAGTACAAACGGACTTAATTTAAAAATAGCTTGACAATCCCCCCACAACCCTTAAACCCCCCCCCCCCTCCCCCCGGGTAGTCGTGTGTAAATTAAACCTGCTATGTCTAAATCTTAATATAGACAAACCAACTGAAGCGAAACAGTACTTTCATGTGATACACTGCCCAAGTCCTTACCTTTCTACCTTTTCCATAAGTTCAAACAATTTCTTCATGTCCAAGGGACCGCATTAGCTCAGTGGATAGAAGACTGGCTTTCAAATCCAGCTGCAACCAACGGCCGGTGTTCAAAACTAGGCGGTTCCCTAGGTTCACCAAGCCTTTAGAAAATGGGTATCAGAAGTGACAGTCTAGGGTAAATGGAGGAACGTCACTGTTGCTACGGAGTTGTGTGCAGACGGGGACACAGGCTGACAGTTGTAATCAGCTGTGTCTGTATTGGTGGCAGAGCACCTATGGCTGGTTCACATCTTCCGACTTCCCCATTACCATGTCTGGATTCCGCTTGTCTTTGATCTCTGTCGGCATCCTGATTCTTCGCTTATGAGTTATGGTTCCCGGGCTTCCAGAAAGTTCTAGATCTGGCTTTAACCATTATGTTACCATGAATACTTTACACACAAATTTTCATCTATAGAAAATTCCTGCTTCCACTAATTAGTTTTCCTCTTCTGTTGCTGCTGCTTCTATTTGAATTTGCACCTAGTTTACTATTACTAATAATTAGTAATTAGTCTAATTACTATGGTTTACTACTTACAAATAGGCTGTGGTATGTTAGCCTATTCGCCCAAAACATCTAGTTGATCTGGTGTCTTCTTCTTCTGCGTTCAGAGGAAGATCGTGACAACAAAAGACTCAATATATTATATCCCTGTCCTGTTTAGTAAATATGTAATGATGACAGTCAGTCAGTCAGACAGTCAGTCAGTCACTAGACAAGACGACAGTCGTGAGTCGGCGTGAGTGTCTTGAGCAGCAGCCATACATACATGAATATTTTACTTTAAAAATCGCAAACATAGTTTACATTTTATTTTAGACAAATAAACTGCAGCTAAACATTACTGTCATGTTATATTACGCACAAGATCGTACCTTTTTCCATCAGTTCAAACAATTTCTTCTCGTCCGGAGTCCGCTTGTCTTCGGTTTTTGTCGCCATCTTGATGCTTTGGTTATGAGTTATGGTTCCTGGACTTCCGGAAAGTTCTAGATCTGGCTTCACCCATTTTGTTGCCATGGATACTTGATACACAAATTCCAATCAGTGGAAAATCATCGTTTCGACTTTAATTGTCCTTATTATTTGTAAAGTTTCCTTTTAGTTTAGCGACCACACCACGCGAAGTATAGAGAAAACATCATTAAGGTTAGGGGAAATTCTATATTATTGTCGAAGTGGTGACGAGGGGTGGAGGATGAGAAGGAAGATGAGGCGAAGGAGAGGGAGACAAGAATATTCAGGGGAAGGAGAAGAAGAAGAAGAAGAAGAAGAAGAAGAAGAAGAAGAAGAAGAAGAAGAAGAAGAAGAAGAAGAAGAAGAAGAAGACAAAGAAGAAAAAGACCAACAAGAAGAAGAAGAAACTACAGGTGCTCCGTCTCCTGTAGGAAATTTCTTAAAGTGTCAGAAGTTGCTCAACACCGTCTCCCCCAAATATTTTCTCTTTCCAAGCAACCAAAATTACTGACATGGCCATAGCACACTAGTCATGTCAAGGTGCTTCCGTCAGTCACTAGGAAATTCCTTAAAGTGTAGACGCTTTTGCCACATGGCCAGACCAGGATCCTGTTAATTCGCTTTTGACATACACTCCGAAAATAGATGGTGATGTTATTTGTTGATATATATATTCGGGTACACTGCCTCGTATACTCATACAACGAAACCCTTATCAATCATAGTTTTTAATGAGATAGTCGTTTGACGCACATAATGTTGACAGATTAGATATGGGCTGAAACTTACACGGGACATTAAAAGCTTCGATTATTATGCCAGTTTGTCATACTGTAATGAATGTTAACTAGTTAAGCAGTTTAAATTGTTAAAAACGTCTTGCGATTTGCCAATAAGACACTCACTTTAGAGAAGGCTTGTACAACGTGGTTTTGATTTTGAGGGTACATCTGTTTTGTAGTTAAATAGTTACCCCTGTTTGTGTTTGTGAAAAACAGTCCGAGCAAATTTCTTTGGATCGTGAGCAAAGATGCGGCTCTTTATTATTTGTTATTGTAGATTGAGCATAGTAGATTTGTTAGTGTAAACTGAGCATAGTAGATCTGTTAGTGTAGATTGCGCATAGTAGATTTGTAAGTGTAGACTGAGCATAGCAGATTTGTTATTGTAGATTGAGCATGGTAGCTTTGTTAGTGTAGAGTGAGCATAGTAGCTTTGTTAGTGTAGAGTGAGCATAGTAGATTTGTTAGTGTAGAGTGAGCATAGTAGATTTGTTAGTGTAGAGTGAGCATAGCAGATTTGTTAGTGTAGAGTGAGCATGGTAGATTTGTTAGTGTAGATTGAGCATGGTAGATTTGTTAGTGTAGAGTGAGCATCGTTGATTTGTTAGTGTAGAGTGAGCATCGTTGATTTGTTAGTGTAGAGTGAGCATGGTAGATTTGTTAGTGTAGAGTGAGCATGGTAGATTTGTTAGTGTAGATTGAGCATGGTAGATTTGTTAGTGTAGAGTGAGCATCGTTGATTTGTTAGTGTAGATTGAGCATGGTAGATTTGTTAGTGTAGAGTGAGCATGGTAGATTTGTTAGTGTAGAGTGAGCATCGTTGATTTGTTAGTGTAGATTGAGCATGGTAGATTTGTTAGTGTAGAGTGAGCATAGTAGATTTGTTAGTGTAGATTGAGCATAGTAGATTTGTTAGTGTAGAGTGAGCATAGTAGATTTGTTAGTGTAGAGTGAGCATAGTAGATTTGTTAGTGTAGAGTGAGCATAGTAGATTTGTTAGTGTAGAGTGAGCATAGTAGATTTGTTAGTGTAGATTGAGCATAGTAGATTTGTTAGTGTAGAGTGAGCATAGTAGATTTGTTAGTGTAGAGTGAGCATAGTAGATTTGTTAGTGTAGAGTGTGCATAGTAGATTTGTTAGTGTAGAGTGAGCATGGTAGATCTGTTAGTGTAGATTGAGCATGGTAGATTTGTTAGTGTAGAGTGAGCATGGTAGATCTGTTAGTGTAGATTGAGCATGGTAGATTTGTTAGTGTAGAGTGAGCATGGTAGATTTGTTAGTGTAGATTGAGCATAGTAGATTTGTTAGTGTATAGTGAGCATGGTAGATTTGTTAGTGTAGAGTGAGCATGGTAGATTTGTTAGTGTAGAGTGAGCATGGTAGATTTGTTAGTGTAGATTGAGCATAGTAGATTTGTTAGTGTAGAGTGAGCATGGTAGATCTGTTAGTGTAGATTGAGCATGGTAGATTTGTTAGTGTAGATTGAGCATAGTAGATTTGTTAGTGTAGAGTGAGCATAGTAGATTTGTTAGTGTAGAGTGAGCATAGTAGATTTGTTAGTGTAGATTGAGCATAGCAGATTTGTTAGTGTAGATTGAGCATAGTAGATTTGTTAGTGTAGAGTGAGCATCGTTGATTTGTTAGTGTAGAGTGAGCATAGTAGATTTGTTAGTGTAGATTGAGCATAGTAGCTTTGTTAGTGTAGAGTGAGCATAGTAGCTTTGTTAGTGTAGAGTGAGCATAGTAGATTTATTAGTGAAGAGTGAGCATAGTAGATTTGTTAGTGTAGAGTGAGCATGGTAGATTTGTTAGTGTAGATTGAGCAAAGTAGCTTTGTTAGTGTAGAGTGAGCATAGTAGCTTTGTTAGTGTAGAGTGAGCATAGTAGATTTGTTAGTGTAGAGTGAGCATGGTAGATTTGTTAGTGTAGATTGAGCATAGTAGATTTGTTAGTGTAAAGTGAGCATGGTAGATTTGTTAGTGTAGAGTGAGCATGGTAGATTTGTTAGTGTAGATTGAGCATAGTAGATTTGTTAGTATAGATTGAGCAAAGCAGATTTGTTAGTGTAGAGTGAGCATGGTAGATTTGTTAGTGAAGATTGAGCATAGTAGATTTGTTAGTGTAGAGTGAGCATAGTAGATTTGTTAGTGTAGAGTGAGCATAGTAGATTTGTTAGTGTAGATTGAGCATAGCAGATTTGTTAGTGTAGATTGAGCATAGTAGATTTGTTAGTGTAGATTGAGCATCGTTGATTTGTTAGTGTAGAGTGAGCATAGTAGATTTGTTAGTGTAGAGTGAGCATGGTAGATTTGTTAGTGTAGAGTGAGCATAGTAGATTTGTTAGTGTAGAGTGAGCATAGTAGATTTGTTAGTGTAGAGTGAGCATAGTAGATTTGTTAGTGTAGAGTGAGCATGGTAGATTTGTTAGTGTAGAGTGAGCATAGTAGATCTGTTAGTGTAGATTGAGCATAGTAGATTTGTTAGTGTAGAGTGAGCATCGTTGATTTGTTAGTGTAGAGTGAGCATAGTAGATTTGTTAGTGTAGATTGAGCATAGTAGATTTGTTAGTGTAGATTGAGCATAGTAGATTTGTTAGTGTAGATTGAGCATAGTAGATTTGTTAGTGTAGAGTGAGCATCGTTGATTTATTAGTGTAGAGTGAGCATGGTAGATTTGTTAGTGTAGAGTGAGCATAGTAGATTTGTTAGTGTAGATTGAGCATAGTAGATTTGTTAGTGTAGATTGAGCATAGTAGATTTGTTAGTGTAGAGTGAGCATCGTTGATTTGTTAGTGTAGAGTGAGCATAGTAGATTTGTTAGTGTAGAGTGAGCATAGTAGATTTGTTAGTGTAGAGTGAGCATGGTAGATTTGTTAGTGTAGATTGAGCATAGTAGATTTCAGTGAGTAAACTAAACGACCATATGCATTGGGAATACGATGCTTGACTCATAGGGTCAATCAATGGGTTATGGGGTCAACATCCCTGTCGCAGATCTCTAGGTGACCTTGATGGTCCGTGGCTCGTAACTGGGCCTATGTCAGACAAACTAACTTTGACACACACTGAACCCGAACACACACAGAGCACACATGACAATCTTTATTGTAAGTACAGATATTACAACGGACAGTTGACTTCCCGCTCTATACACACCTGTTACCTGGAACACTGGTCGAGCCAGCTTCACAATCACCTGCTCTGCAGTCTGTTACCACAGGCAATCCCAGGTGCACAAACCCACCTTGGGATGTTCTTGTACCTTGTCACCTGAGCTCACCAAGATGTCAGAGCTTCTGTCGTGCGCAGGGTCAGCGAGACATGGTTAGCCATTAGCTCACAACAAATACATCTAACTGATTTAACTGGTCAGAAATAAATGGACACTACTGACCTATTGTGAAACAACACAATACATTATACCATTTAAATACACAGCATAAAAAGGCTATCCTGTTATTAAAACATAAGACTGTAAATCATATATGCAGTCACTAAAGGAATATCCTAACTCTAACGTCCTATCTCTGTCTCGCTAACACGCTCTCTCGGTCTGAACTCTGCATCCCGAATCCCTGTGTTCTCTCACCTCGTGCCTTTCGACTGGTTAACCCGCTCAGTAAGTCATGGAACAAGCTTGTTGCGAACTTGTTCGGAAAAGAGTTCACTCTTCCAGGTAGACTTCAAGTGGTCTCTACTGAGCGCTAGCTTCGCCGTCGCAAACAGCACATACTTGGCCAGTCACGCCACTGGCTTTTGTGTCAACTCTGGGGTGTACCCTGAACACGGTATACCCATTGTGTGGTAAAATCCGCCACATGACTGTATTCACAGGGTTCTGACAATCACGCCGGCCGACTTTACTTCCCAGGACATTTTCTGGTATCCATTTTAGTCTGGATCGACCTCAGAACCAATGTTACCTCCCATTCCCAGCTTTTCTTCTTCAAAATCGTATGTGATGCATTTTCTAACTTCCAATCTTCTTATGTGCTGGCGAACGTCTGGCCGTCATATATATATATAAACTCCTGATTTCTTGAGGGGTGTAAAAATATATAAGTACTCAAAAGACAAACACACCTTGGGTGAATGTTAATGGTTTATGATTGTGCGGGTTTTTTTTTTAAGTAAGACTTAGAACATATTTTAAAAATAGCACAATTGTCTTAAAAATTGCAGACAGAATTACATGTGCAAATTT